CAACGAAAATGTAGCACTCGGCTTCGCCTCGTGCTACATTTTCCTCTCAACCGCCCCTCGTGCAATAATTTCCGTAACCTTCTCTCAACAGTGCTTTAACTAATACATATATAGCGATGATATTTATTGTATCATTATTACAGGGTCAAAGGTTCTTCCTATCCAATATCTGGTGATAGCCTGGGTGGGGCTATTGATTACAGTTATTCTTTATCAATTGAAGCAGATGATGAAGTAGATGATGAAGCAAGAGTAGATTTTGTTCCTGGTACATCACATTCACAATTGACCCTTTCAACCTTTGATCACAAAGATGACACCAAATTTAGTGCTGCAGTTGAAGATGTTGACATTGTAGGTGATCTTGTAGTGAATTTGAACATAGGTATAGACATTATACATAAATATTATCATAATTATTGCTATTTTATGTTAGGGCCCAAATTAGAAATTTCCATGGAAGAATTCAAAAGAATCATTCTTAATCAAAAAGTTCCTGTTGCCTTGTGTCTGGTGGCAGTAATGGGACTGCCAGATTGTAACAAAACCTCAATTTTAGAGTCCATTTTAAGAGAAAATATCAAATTGAAGGAGACCGCAACACGAAATTTTGAAGAGTATATGACAAGAAAGAAAAATCCTGATGGTTTATCTATTTACGAGTTGTGTGTGCTTGGTGGTAAGCCATATGATCAGTACTCATGGTCTTTTGCTACAGAGCGATATGGAGCCATTTTTTCTATTCTCTGTGGTCTTGTTCGTCATGTTGCTCTTGCTAAATCCGACATAAAAAGCGTTGAGTTTTTAAGCGATGGCCACGTAAGTCAAAATAAGTTAGTTGACGATCATTTTAAGTGGCTCATGGGGAAAGCAGCAAAACAGCTAAAGGATATTTCCAAAGATGAAAAGAAAGAGGCTCTTTTTCTCAATGGCCTCACTCTTGCCAATATAATGGATGTTGGTGTTAACAAGGCCCTCTATGATTTCCTCCCTATTATGCTCTCCTTTTGCCGCAGTCATTTGCGCCTTGTTTTTTTCTCTTTAGAGCGGGATGGTCCTAAGCTTAATGAAGTACCAGATTTGTCAGCTGATCACTATAGCAGAAGAAGTGACAATCGTTTAGCTTTGACATTGAGGTCACGACTTAATTGCATTCTTCACTTTGCAACACTTGGCCACAATCCAAAACAGAAGGAAGATGATAGTAAAAGAACATTTGTTGTTGCTTCTAGTAATAGCCAGTCTGTTGTTGCTGGTTCTTCTTCGCAACTCCATAAAGCCGCTACCGATAAAATACAAGAAGAAGCAGAAAAGCTAAATATTAAGAAATTTGTTTCAAACGTTGCACTTGTTTCAATTAATGATGCTGATTCATTGAAAAGTGCAAAAAAGGAAATTACAGAATTTATTATGAAAGACCAAATTTTTCAAAAAACTCTTCCACTTAAATGGATTTTCCTACGGAGCCTTGTCATTTCCGCACAACAAAAAGAAGGGGACATGAAAACAATGATATTAAGAAAAATCGATATTTACGATGCTGCTGCCAAGGAGATAGGGATGGATGAAGAAGAGTTTGAGAACTTTCTTGTCACTTTTACTGATTTTGGTAGCATCCTTTATATGCCACAGTTTAGAGCTTTGAGAGACATTGTAGTTGTTGATATATGGGAGTTTGTGCGATTTTTAAATGAGCTTATTTATCCGAAAGAAGGAAAAAAATGGTACAAAGATTTGACCACTTATGGAATCATCAAGATTTCAGATGCATCAGAAATTTTAAAAAAGTACGTAGACATTTTTATGAAAATTATCATCACTTTTGGAATGGCAGCTTTTATTAATAGAGAAAAAGCATATTTGAATGGACGTTTTTTGACTGAAGTGTGTTACTATTTGCCTTCTGCCAGAATTAATAAAAGATCTCCTCCATCTGATCATACCAATGACTATGCCTTTCTTGAAATCGAAAGTGCTAATTTTCCTGCTAACATTCAAGCAAGCATCAGTCATGAGATACTGAAAAAGCCAAATTTTTATCTCATTGGAAACGAAAGTTTCAACACGTCACAGTTTGGATATCGACCTCCAAGAGTCCGTCCGATTCAAATTACAATGGTGTATGGAGCAAACCAAACGAAGCTCATATTTCAAATCAAAGATGCCTCTACTGGTATGCATGATTGTGTGCAAGCTTGTAAAGGCATCATTGAAGCTTGTTGCGACAGTCTCAATAGAATGGCCAACCAGATTTGATATTTGAAGTACTCAATTGGTATTCCATGCTCTGCTGTCAATGGTGCTAGTCATTATGTCTATTTCAATGATGATTCTGATTTATGCCAGGCTTGCAAACGCACTAGTCATGATGCATTTTTCTGCCGTAATTGCTGGATTGCAGCAGCAAAAATGGTAAATCTGTGCATTGCTATAATAATTATTTTGCAGTTTACTGTATAGCGGGAAATTTTGGAGGGAGCTAAATTTGGTGAATTGCTAAATCTTGGTGATTGGCAAATTTTAATTTGGCAAATTAGTGGCCTGCCATTGAGCATGCATAAAATGAATCAAAATGGCGGATTTTATTTTGACAAATGGCTATCAAAATGCCAAATTTGCCAAATTTAATTCCCTCCAAAATTTCCCTCTATATGGTATTATATTAAGTATTTATATTTTGTTTATTTTTATGCAGTGCAATAAGCTTAGGAAAGAGGAGGATCATCTTACATTTTCTGAGCTTTCACAAGTCGTGCAAGATGTAGCAGGGACAAACATGATCTCTAGGCTAAGACAAAAGTTTAATGTAGATATACACAAGGCTACAAAAAGCTACCAAGAAGATCGCCAGTTAATGGAAGCACTGATGAAGTGGGAGACCAAGCAAAGCAGTCCCAGGCACTCTTTGATTAAAATATTGCACGAAATGCAACTGAACCGTACTGCTGATAAACTAAAACTACATGTACCTATTACCTCTCCCTGAAATTTTTACTTTTGTGCTGTACAAAGTTGCTTAAATACTGACTAAAACTTTAGACTGCTACTAGCTTTTACATAGATATTTTGTCTAACATTTTATATAAAATTAGCATGCCTCTGTTTTAGAAATGAATTATTTTTTAAAATAAAAATTAATCAAACAATGTATCTAGTATGCTGAAGTCATATTGTCCTTTATTTTTATGATAGATTTCTTATTTGCATGGTAGTTGATAGCAGACTTACACGTAGGCTCAATTAGAATTACATGTACAATGTACCTAATTGTGATTAAGGTTTAAGCCAAACAAAATGTAATTGAAATTTTTATCAAAATTGAGTTTTTGTAGTGTACTGACTATACTGACTCAATACAAATGCAGAAAAAATTTTCTCAATCTACACTGTATCTCAGCTACATGAAGTGGCCACTTCATGTTACATCACGTATACATTATCATTAATTTTGTACTATAGTGTGTGGGCATATCAAAGGCATCACCACGAGTTTATATACTGGAGACCACAGGAGTGGTAGTTAGAACTTATTTTATTTATAAAAGTGTCATCTAACTGCCAATACTGGTAGTTATACAGCAGTGCCTTTGCCTTACATACGCCCACACACTATAGTACAAACAAGATAAACTATATGCATGTATACACAGGAGGATGTTACTTGATTAGAAGCCTCTGCTCCTGCCTAGGGTTCTAATCAACTAACATCTTCCTGTATATATCCAGTAGCTAACCCTCAACATCTGTAGTTTATTTATCATAAAAGTGTGACAATCAGGATTCCCCCTGAGGGATTCTAGTCTAGGGACACGCACATTATTCGGGAATTTCTTTTGGAATAATGGGTGGGAAATTTAGAGAAAGAATAATGGGTTAAAATTTGCCTGTCTGGATCACGTGATCAGTATTTAACCCTTTCAATACTGCATGAGCATGTGTCTGCAAACAGTACAGTACAATTTAACAGCACTTTACAGCAACAGCAATGAGTAACTCCACTGGAAATAATACTGAACAGATTTCAGGACACTCAAAGTAATTCACTTGAGGATTACATTGAGTCATCAGTAGTGTTACAATATAACCATGAATGATGATATTAATAATCAAAATGAATTTTTGGTATTATCAGAGCATAATAATGGGAATAATGGGCCAAAAAGGAGAGAATAATGGGATTGAGGAAGAGAATTGAAGAATAGAATTATAGGGTTGAAAAAAAGAATAATGTGCATGTCCCTATTCTAGTCTCGTGTAGCCCACAGACCACACCCGGTGTGGTCTGGCTACCTGAGACTAGAGGGATTTCCCAGTTTGGTGCTCAGCTTCTTGCCAGCTCATGAGGTGCTGTTTAGTTTGCTCAGTAGAGTTTTGTAGAAAACTCTGATCCATGGTATTTTATCAAAATTGCTAGCCTAAGGAAAAATTCTCCATTTTTACTACACGCCCAAGAGTTCCTAAATGATGCACTACTGAAATCCGATAGATTCAATCCCGTCAAATCAGCTTGAGCCACTAATTTTTGTCAACATGGATGATACACTTTAAACTAATCGCCCTGAATCAAAATGAGAGTGGGCCTGAATCATTATTGACAACTGCTAGTTATTAAAATCATTAATATTAACTAACCGAATAATTATTATAATTAATTATTAGAGATGCAGTAAATATTATAACAAAATAAAGAGTTAGAAAAATCATGTATAAAATTTAAAGAATCAGAAGATAAAAGGCAAGTATGCAAGCAAATATGAGAAACAGATATTGGAGAATGTATACACAATGGTGACACAACAAATATATTATTTGTTAAGAACAGAATTGGACAATCAAACTCAGTTACGAGAGGACTTCCATTACTAATGTCGATCTGTGGCTCCAATTCCCTGACAATGCAGATTTCAAATTTCTTATCCAATATTCCACAAGCAAGTATAATTCCAGTAGTTATCTGATGAAAACTGTCATAATTATTCTTACGAAAATAATGCTTACCTTAGTAGAAGTAGATGAGACTTTTATAAAATCTCCCACATTTACAAGTATTCCATTGGCACTTACTACTGCATTGTACTTTAAAAAAGGAGAAAGTAATGATGCACTTTCAGGTAAATTATGTAGTTGACAAATTCTTAACACATCCCTCAACAGAGTACCATTTTTGTCATAGTATGCATGTGTAGAAACATCACACAATTTACAAGTTGTTGTTCCATGACTCAGCTGCAAAAAATAAAACAATACTCTCCATGATTTGAACATACCTTTCTCAAACAGCCAGGTTGATATATTAAATTTTCCTTAAGCAGCTCACTGAATGGAATTCCACACAGAAAATGTTGCACAATAGGTGAAGAGAATAACCCACGTAAGTGCTCCCCACATCTAACATAAAATAAATATTAATATAAATCGTAATAACACAGTTATCAGTGCAAATGAACTTACTGTTTTCCGTCTACATGCCCACCACTACAAAGAAATCTTAAATGTTGAATCGTAGCAAATCGAAATGCAATGTCTTTGCTAGGAGAGTGGCGGTTCCCATATATATTTGCTGATCTGACTAGAGAATTGAAGGACTCAAACCTACAGATCTTATCATTAAGTGGATTAATAAGTGGCATACATAACCTTTCAGTATTATAGCCTTGAGTAGGGCCAAAATCCACAATATGGTCAACAAGATGAAGTATTAAATGAGTCTTGAGTCTTTTAGCATAAGCTGGCATATAGCTTACAGCACACTGGACAAAGTCACAACAGATATCTTTCCACAGCTGTGCATCATTCATTTGAAAACGGACACAATAAGCTAGCCTAAAAACCTATGCAATGAGTAAAATTATAGTGCTTGCTTGTATTATTTATTTTACTTTAGAAAGTGAAATCCAGCATTTCAATTCATTGCTTGATAAGTAAGGTTGGAAAATGTGGAGTGCCATTTGCATTAACGATTTAAAATCTCGACCCACAAAAGATTTGAAGTACTTAATATTGCTTGAAACTCTAGACGTAAAACCAGAATATGAGAATGCTTTTATCCTAGCCACTATTTCTGTTTTCTCCTTAGGCGATCTCTTATTCATAAATTCCCGAACCATATATTTACTGGTTCCAAGCAAAATAGTATGTAGAGCCTCAATTGGAGTTGACCTGCATGATTAAAAAGGTCACAGAAGTAACATCATTTTTATCTAACTATAACATACTGATATAAATCAATGTTGAGGTTAAAAAGTGGGTTAGGTCCTTCCTTTAAACCATAGAGCTTTCTTAGTCTTTTCTTTCCTTCCAAAGTTTTTTCAGATGTTATATTTTCAATACATTCCATAGCCAACTTTTTTGTTCTAGGTTCTCCCACTTCAGCACCATCTGAAGTCTATATACAGGAATTAGATTGCACTATAGAGAAAACAACTAACTGTGCACAGTCTACATAGCTTTATTGATGTACTACCCAAATGATTTAAAAGAGTTGAAGACATCGCATTATCACACAACAGACCAATAACAGGTGCAATGACTAAGATATCTGTATGCAAAAAAGAGTCATGAACTTGAATTCCTAACTCAAGGCGGCATAAATCAGCTGCAACAGGACCCGCCATTTGAAGAGCATCACATCTGTTAGAACAACACATAAAATAAATGTTACTGATATCATGAGAAGAATCTAGAGGTAGGCATGCCAATGAGATGCACCAAATGTCAAATTTGTTCCATTTTTTGGAGCGATTCCCACTGGTATCATCAGAGTAAATATAAACTGGTGCTACAACAACTGGAAGCCCTGCTGCTCTAACCTTAAGTGGATGCTCCTCTACAAAGTTTACATACTCCTAACAAAATACAAGCTATACATGTAGAATATACAATTGAAATTGCTACCTAACCTCATGACTCAAATTTAAAATTCTACTTGAAGTTGAAGGTAAAGTCAGCTTCAACAAATTTGTAGGTAGTGGAGGTGATGCAAGACTTACAATATTCCCAGAATTCACTTCGCATTGTTGACATATGAAGTATACATCAGAATCAGGTTCATTCAGAAGAGTAAAGCCTGGAAAAAATATCCATACTTGTTCAATTTTCAATAATAATTCAACAGTCATAAACGTGCCATCTTCTCCTTCCTATAGGTATATTTGTAAGTCAATTAAAATAATTAAGGTGGCTGGGGTACTAACCTTGTCATAAAATTTCAAAACTTTACCCAATGTTTCTCCACTTACAGAGTGGGAAAATTTAATAAAATCATTCTCAAACACGTGCCCTATGGGGCTCATTATCATGGGACAGTGAAAATCGTTATGCCACTTTTTAGCATAATAAATTTCCCTGAAATTGCAAAATATATTTTGAAATTTAATATGCTGATGCTCACTTTATATATTCTTTTGCCTTAACAGGATGACGGATAATTTTACTGGCTATAACAGGATTTGCAAAACAGTTTCTGATAAAAGTAGATGGTAAATTAACATAAAAATCAATACCATTTACAGAGCAATGCTAAAAAATAGAAGAATTTATTAAGATTATATAATTGAAATAAACATACCTTAGATGGCGGAACAAACCCAGGAAGAGAAAACTTTTTGAGATCATCAAGACTAGGAAGGAATGGGTTCAACTTTTTACACACATACAGAATGAATTTCAAATTACTTTCGCCCTGTAGAAAACACATGATTCACAACAAAGTTATCATCAAATTAACATACAAAAGGTCGTGGCGAATGCACCAGCATATATAAAAGAGCATAGATTTCAGATGGAAATGGGTAATAATCACCAGTGTTATTTTCATCGATCTGATCAATAATCATTTGAATGTCTTCATCTACGTCATAGGAGTTAACGGTAAAACTATTTAATTATACATGGTACCTGATATGTCACTTTCATAACTATCAGATTGAGGATATTTATCGACATCATTACAACAGCTATCCTATAATTTAGATAATCATGCATGCATTAAAATGACCAAAGGTACCTTGTCCAAATCAAATATGTCATCATTATCACTTTCTGACAAAATAACATGATCATCTTCATCATTAAACTCATCTTCATGTCTCTGTTCCAAGATCTCTTCATCATCATCCAGATCCGACTGACCCTCATCTTCAAGAGAATGAAGACTTGCAAGGCGTTTATGCGAGAAGGATTCCAAGTGCCGGCAATACTTCGACTTATGTTCATACTTCTTGTCACACAGTGTACAAATCCAATCTAAACAAGATTACCGGTATAAGAAGTAGCAAAGTAAATGGACTCAGTAACTAACAATTATCAACTTTAGCACCAACCAACGCACCAATCATCGCCATTTTGTGTTACTGCACGTGCATTCACATGACTGATGCACCGCCCAGTGAATGTAGTGGTAAACTGGTAAAAGTGGCGATGGCTACTCATGCTACTGGTCAAGGTTCCTCCTCAGGTTCCTCGCAAGCTAGCCAAGCTCCTCATCCTTCTGGTACCTCTAGTAGAATTGATGTAAATAATGCTACGAGAGCACATCCACTTTTTGGGATGTTGGACTACATCATAAGAAACACTCAAAATCAAACCTCAAAGTTGGAGACAAGGATATCTACATTAGAGAAAAATGTGGACAAGATAATAGATATTCAGGGAGAATTGAAGCAATTAATGGAAGAGTATTGTGACAGTACTTTTTCTATTGAAAAGACCTCTTATCAGGTAGACTCTATGTTTAAATTAAAGATTGAGCACTGATTATTAACCCTTACCTTTTTTAAAAACCTTATTGTTAGGCACCTCTTCGAAAAGGAGCAGCAATTTTATTTTGTAACTCCATGTTCCGAACTCCTACTGAAGATAGTGTGCTTGTTAGTACAACAAATGTGTATTATAATAATGTTATGTATTTATTTTCTAGAAAATGGTAAAAGCCACATTGAGATCTGATATACATTCAAAAAGGATTCTTCATGCATCATTGAAGTTTACCAATTCTCTCTTTGTAACATTCCGGAGTGAAGAAAGGAGAAGAGTAAGTGCCCCAAGAGCATGCAGTGATTTTAATTGTTATCAAATTAAAGATTCTTCATCCTTCTGGAAAGTATCGAAATAAAGATACAAAATCACTGGCTGCTCTTATAATGGGTTACATGAAGGCTAATACTGATTCTTGTCCAAACTACACAAGAAATCTTGCCCTTCTGGTAAATACATATTTCATACTGTTTTTTTATTCATACACTAAATAGAGAAAATTTATTCGGGATAAACCTTCTATTTTCACTGAAAAAAAGAGCTTTACGGTTCATTTAAAGCTTGGGTAGAAGAGAAATATGGTCCTGGAGGAAATTTGACTGCTCTTGATTGGAAAGAAGTATTAGAAGAAGATAGTGCTACCTGTTATATGAATGATACTATGACAAGTACAAGTACCTCAGATGAAGGAGAGCTAGGAGATTATGAAGACCCAGCTTTAATGAGTACAGGAGAGGAACAAGCTGGAGATGATCTGTATAATTACGTTTAAGCTATATAGCTAATACATGTTGTTTCTGAGCTGAACCATAGTGTATAATTTATTTAATCTCATTCATGATTGTTACCTTAATGCTCACTTATTCATTATGAATTAATGATTACAAAGTTGAAACAATAAAGATATCATCCATGACTCAACCCTGATCCTTGACATTCATGCATCACTTCTGTTTTAAAGCAGCAATGAATCATTGTTTTGCAACATTAGTGGGTCAAGTTGTCAAAAATTAGTGCTCCACCCTGTCACTGGAACAGGTTTGGTAATCCATCATGGCCCATGCATGATGAAGCAACATTGATGTTTCACTAATGATAACTCTTGGGTGTGTATCTATGCTTGTTTCTCGTCCCCCGCCCGCTCGTATTTTTATTGCGCTCGTATTTTTATTACGCACGCATACGCATGCGCAGTTGTGAAGTAGATGTTGTAACACACTGTCACTTCGTCTTTGGAGCTGTTTTTCTGTCATATCTTTTTATCTAGCTAACACATCTTGTTTCTGCTACTCATTTTCACCATTTTACAAGTCTCAAACCATTTTACAAGTCTCAAACCATTTTACAAGTCTCATCAGGTCTCGCTGCTTGGCTATCTACTGTACCTCAGTACAGGTCTCCAGCAGTGGCTGTTGTTCAGCTCTCACTCAGCTATCAGCCTTGTCGTTGTACCGTAGTCTCACTCAAATATCAGCCTGGTCTCATATGTACAGATGCAGCTACAGTTGCAGCTTCTTGCTCTGTTACTTGCATCAAATCTTATCTGGATATCAGCTGCAAGGTATTGTCTTTAACATTGTTTGTATTTCAGATACCATATAAGGCATATATAGTTTTATAATTGATGTGAACAGTATATTATTTTTATTTTACCATTATGCCTATTTCCTTTAGAATGTACTTAAGTGTGTCTATCTCCTCTGAAGTGACTTCAGTTCCTTGGAGTATAATCAAGGTCAGTATTATGTAATATTATGTAAATTATTGTGATGTCATATCTTTTTTGTAGGAAGACAATGAAACCCTGACATTTTCATCTCTTTTTTCAAAAATTCAAACAGGTTCTTTTTCAACCATTCCAAGTTCAAAGGATTTAGAAGATGCCCATTTAGAAACTGTTTATGTTGGGCAATCGAAGGAGAGTTTTAGCACTGTAGAAGCTTCTCACACTGTCAGCAGTGTGTGTAGTATATTTGGTTCATTTGTCAAGTTTGTTGTGACTGTTGACTTATTGGAGTGTAGCCTGCAATCAAAGCGATTGAGATCACAAGTGAACCAAGCAATACCGAGTTTGTGATGAAAGACAAGAGAAGGAAAGACTGATATGAACTTTGAATATATTGTGCTGCTTTATGTGATAGTAATGATCCCACAGTGTGAAGATTGCGAGTTTCCTAGTAAAAATTGAATTTTTAAAAATATTAATTAAAAACAATAATAATAAATAACTAGCGCCCGCCCGCATCTAGGTGGAGTCTGAGAAACAAGGAATTTAATAATCCTGGTGGCCTAATATGTAGTTAATTATTATTGTTTTGACTTTTGGGAAGGACTGAAGACTCAATCAATGGTTGACAACCGAGCTGACAACAGAGGTAAGTTGTTTTTACACTTATAATCAGTTAATGTACATGCTTACTTAGGGGATGATGATCTAACTGAACCTGAACCAGGTCTAGTCTGGCCGCGCGGGACTACTGTTAGTCCTGTTGCTGATGAAGGAGGCTCTAAGTTTGTTACTGGCAAAGGCGGGGAGCATGATTACCAGGACACAAGTGATTTTGATGGTGTCGTTGAGGATATACCTGTCACGCTTGATATCAAGCCACTTGGTAGGTCTGTCATGCAAAAACGGGTCCCATCAAAAAAAGATCCCCCCAGATCAAATTTGGCTGCCAAAAGCTGTCCTCGGACAGG